ATGGGGAACTTTGCATTTAATTGTTTGTTAGGCATTCTGTGTATCTCCTCTGGGGTTCCTGATTCTCCCTTCTGTACTCCCTTCCCTCAATTCACCACTTCCAGAGCTCTCCTTGGGGCTTCTATCCTATTCCACAGACCTATTTGGGTTCCAGTGCATAATTACAAGTATATCTCACCTTTCAAGGCATCTGAGTCAGATGGGAAGCCTATTTACATTTCCCTGATTTTTATGGTCTGATAACATAGCCTCTTTCATTATCCCTGGTCTACCACAACCTACATTCCTCTTAACCTCCTCCTTTTTTGCAGTGCTCTGGGGACAGTCAGGCTACAGGCCACTCAGATCAGAACTGGGAATCATTTGATTAGTTATCATGTAGTGCCACAAATTAGCCAGGTATTACTGGTAAAATATAAGAATATTTCTAAGTATTGCTTTGTCATCTGCAAAACTGTACTTGAAATAGATTTGTGATCCCTCAAATACTACCATGAAGTAAGAGAGATGAGAGCTGGTGGAAGTAGCCTAGTTGCCTTCAAAGAAAAGGAGGGCTTGTGTGGAGATCTGCTGGAGCTTGAAGATCATCATTATGTCCCAGGCCTGGTTCCTGGTTTCAAGCCACAGAAACACACTCTCTTCTGGAACAGGGGATGCCATGCTTTGGCTCAATCAGCTAAACACCTACGAAAACTGAGGTAGATGTTGCGACGCCAATATACAATTGTTCTGCCATCTAAGAAAGCCTGGTGTCCTTGTTGTGGAATCAATGCACAAGGACAAGTTCCTCAGGTCTAGATCCCCTTTCTGATGAGGCTGCCCACACCTGTGTATCTCCTATAGCAAAGTTCCAGAGCCGTCACTGCCCCCAAAAAGTCATACAGGAGACTGAGAAGGACATCACAATGTCAGTTTATTAATTTACTAGGAGAAATAAAATGTTTAGGAATATACCTAACAAGGAGGTGAAAGACCTCTGTAAGGAAAACTACAAAACACTGCTGAAAAAAGCATACATGAATCAAACAAATGGAGACACATCCCATGCTCATGGATGGGTAGCATCAATATTGTGAAAATGACCAGACTGCCAAAAGCAATCTACAAATTCAATGCAATTCCTATCAAAACACCACTATCATTTGTCACAGAACTAGAAAAAACAATCTTAAAATTCATATGGAACCAAAAAAGAGCCCACATAGCCAAAGCAAGACTAACAAATCTGGAAGCATCACATTACCTGACTTCAAACTACACTATAAGGCCATAGTCACCAAAACAGCATGATACTGGTAAAAAAATAGTCACATAGACCAACAGAACAGAGTAGAGAACTCAGAAAAATTGCCAATACTTACAATACTTATAGACAACTGATCTTCAGCAAAGCAAACAAACAAAAAAAGTAAAGTGGGGAAAGGACACGCTACTCAACATACGGTGCAGGGATAATTGGCTAGCCACATGTAGAAGAATGAAACTGGATCCTCATCTCTCACCTTATACAAAAATCAAGTCAAGATGAATCAAGGACTTACATCTAAGACTTGAAACCATAAACATTCTAGAAGATAGCATTGGAAAAACCCTTCTAGACATTGGCTTAGGAAAAGACTTCATGACCAAGAACCCAAAACCAAATGCAACAAAAACAAAGATAAATAGATGAGACTTAATTAAACTAAAGAGCTTCTGTACAGGAAAAGAAACAATCAGCAAAGTAAACAGATAACCTACAGAATGGGAGAAAATCTTCATAATATATACATCTGACAAAGGACTAATATCCAGAATCTACAAGGAACTCAAGCAAATTAGCAAGTAAAAAACAAATGATCCTGCCAAAAAGTGGGCTAAGGATATGAATAGACAATTCTCAAAAGAAGATACTGATACATGATACACAAATGGCCAAGAAGCATATGAAAAAATGCTCAATGTCACTAATGATCAGGGAAATGCAAATTGAAACCATAATGTGATACCACTTTACTCCTGCAAGAATGGGCATAATAATAAAAAAAATAGATGTTACTGGGGGTGTGGTGAAAAGGGAACACTTTTACTCTGCTGGTAGGAATGTAAACTAGTACAACCACTATGGAAAACAGTGTGGAGACTCCTTAAAGAACTAAAAGTAGAACTACCATTTGATCCAGCAATCCCACTACTGGGTGTCTACGCAGAGGAAAAGATGTCATTATACAAAAAAGATACTTGCACACACATGTTTATAGCAGCACAATTCACAATTGTAAAAATGTGGAACCAGCTGAAATACTCATCAATCAACGAGTGGATAAAGAAATTGTAGTATATACATATCATGGAATACTAATCGGCCATAAAAAGGAATGAAATAATGGCATTCACAGTGACCTGGATGGGACTGGAGACAATTATTCTAAGTGAAGTCAGTCAGGAATGGAAAACCAAACATTGTATGTTCACATTCATAAGTGGAAGCTAAGCTATGAGGGCATAAAGGCCTAAGAATGATACCATGGACTTTGGGGACTCAGGAGGAAGGATGGGAAGGGGGTGAGAGATAAAAGACTACACATTGGGTACAGTGTACATTGCTTGGGTGATGGGTGCACCAAAATTTCCAAAATCACTACTAAGAAACTTACTCATGTAACCAAACATCACCTGTTTCCTTTGGAAATTATTAGATCTTTCTAGGGGTCTAATACACTCAAAGTTGGAGTCAGGCTTTCTCTTAATGCCAGCCATACCTACACGAAGGACCTAAATCCTAACTAGAGATTTTTGGTGAACGTGGAAATGAAACAAAGGAAGTTGTGCTTACAGCAGATAAGTTAATAATGTATCCACCTCACCACAGGGATGCCCTTGGAACCCTACAGTCATTTAGTCACATCCCCAGGAGCCTTGGCTTTGGAAGTGCAAGTTCCTTCTCCCAAATCTGCTGAGGACACCTGCCTCTGAGCCTGCTTCCACAGGGGACTGTTTCTCTTCCTACCCCTTCCTCAGCACCTCCTTGATTTCCTTTTTCAGACATGTTAAATCAAGTTCCAATTTGACGGGTGCCCTGGGGACCTATTTTCTCTCTTTCTTGCTTATTTATGCTCAGATCTATTCTGCGTGGATTTCAGAGTTCAGTTCTGAGGGAAAGTCTTACTTCCTGTATGCGGAATAATTCTCAAACAGTAACAGGTGAAGCTGTAGCTTACCACTTACCTGCACTGTGGGATCAGCCAAGCTACCTGTAAAATAAGGTCATCCAGGCTGCTCCACCCATGGGTTCCTTCATATTCTTAGCATCGGTTGGTTGTGTTTGTTCCCAAATGCATTAATGCCAATTGTACTAGATATTGTAACTTTATAGTTTAATTATAAAACATAAAATAGGGCCAGGTGCAATGGTTCATGCCTATAATCCCAGCACCTTATCAGGGTGAGGAGGGAGGACTGCTTGAGGCCAGGAGTTTGAGACCAGCCTGGGCATAGTGAGACCACCGTTTCTAAAAAGTTTTTTTAAAATAATAAGCTGGGCATGGTGGTGTGTGCCTGCAGGCCCAGCTACTCAGGAGGCTTGTTAGAGTCCAGGAGTTTGACACTGCAGTGAGCTATTATTGAGCAAGACAACTACAAATTATATAAATTTAGGGCTTGCACTCAAATTGGTCTACAGCTATCTATTTTTGAGACAGGCTTTCACTCTGTCACCCAGGCTGGAGTGCAGTGGTGCGATCACAGCTCACTGCAGTCTCAATCTCCCCAGGCTCAGCATCCTCCCACCTCAGCCTCCCAAGTAGCCCGTACTGCAGGCATGCACCACCACACTCTGCTAACTTTTTTAGACTTTTTTTTTTTTTTTTTTTTTTTTTCAGAGACAGGGTTTCATTTTCACTTACTAAAAACTGGAGATTGTGAACAATACCTTATAGATATGTTTTAGGCATAAAACCAGCAGGGAGGAATATTAAAAGGAATGACATTGTCCCCACACCAAAAGATTACTGGATAAACGTATGTTGATGTCTTCTAATAGAAAATAAAATGTTTAAACTAATGTTAAAACTATTCTTATGATTCCTTCCTTTAACTTTTTTGATTTCCTGACCAAATAAGTCAGATAAGAGTGATTCAAATGTAAATATGAGTAATGACAATAACATGATAATTATAATGGCTACCATCCATGAAACTACATTTTGTAACAAATATAGGTTATTATTTAAGTGTAACATTAACTTTGCTTATTAATATGCCACTACAGTTTATCTTCTAAAGCAATGCATAAGCAAGTAGGCCTTCTTGCTCAATATTTTTCTTTTCTCCCTTCACTTCGCTTGGGACGTTTAGTATATGTTGCAGCAGCAACCGCAGGGAATTTCTACCTCGAGCATCAGTTTCAGCAAACTCCCTGGTCCTTCACTGTGGCCAGGAGGCTCTGCTTGGTTCAGATGCCCCCTTTGTTAGGTAGTGTGCAGAGACTGGTTTTCTTTTGCACCTTTAGGTGTCATCTGGAGTAAAAGAGAAGGAATTCCTTGTCTGATCAGAGGAGCCCTTGCTTGAGGACTGCCCATGCCAGTGGCTTGGGTGAACACTACATCCAATAACACATGCTCTGTCTTGAACAAGTTTATCCTCAGCCTCCACAGAGCCACATTTTGGACCAGGAACTCCAAAGCCCTTGGTGACTCACTGAGGCAACATTTCTTGTTATGTTTCCACTCCTCCCAATTTCTTTCTGTGAGTTTTTCCTTGTTCTGCCTTCAGGTTCTCTCTCTCTCCCTCCCTCTAGTTCTGATGTCTACAGGGGCAAGAACCCACTGCTTCCTAAATCTAGGAGTTGGGTTTCCAGTTCCTACCGTCCTCTATATTCTAAGAAGGTAAAGAGTAAAGTTTAAATAATCTCTTACAAGTAGGGACTCAAGGAGCTCAAGTTAATTCACAACCACTGTGTGGAGACAATAAAACCACAATTTCAGGATTGGGGAGGGGCAGAAAAAAACATCAAAAATGGCCCTTTAACAATTTACTGTATTATATTAGAAATGCTTATTGGAAAAATATCCGGGAATACATACCTCAAATCTAATATACATAAGAGACTTACTGGGAGAAATAGAAATACATTTTATATTAATCTTGAAAAATCAATTTCCATTAATAAATAGAAGTACAGGACACAAGTTGAAAACAGCATAGATCAGGGTGTCTTTTTTTGAAGAAAAAGGATGGTGTTGCTGTTCACAATTACAAGAAATTGATGATAATATTTTAAATAAGTTAACTTTTGTCCATCACGCTTACTTCATGGTGTGCAGAAAACAGCACTTGAATGATTTTTTCCCTTAATTCGTTCTAAATTACAGCAAAGTGCTCTGCAAGAAAAAAGTGCTTGTGTTAATTAACTTTGAGTAAAGAAGGTCACCGGTATACATTGGGCTCATTTTGTGGTCTTAGTTATTGGCATTCTTCTGCAATTAGAATTCATCATTAGGTATTATAGGCACATGTGGATTTTCACGTTTTTAAAGCCAGAATTTCAGATTTAGGCACATTTAAAAATTTTTCTCTAAAAATATTCTGACCTCAAGCTAAAAACTCGCTTTATAACTCAAAAAATATTAAAGAGAGCTGTTTTTTTCTAACATTTCCTACAATTTAATACATATTGTTTGTTAAGCCCTTCTCTACTTCTGACAGAATTAATCAGCCCCCTCCCTTTTTCTCTGATTCTCTTCCTCTTGATATTATTTATGTCACATTGCATTGCACTTATTATTTACATATTCCTCTCCCCTGAGGCTGAGTTCTATGAGGGAAGAGATGGGGTGTTATCAGTATTTATAGCCTCAGAGTACAGGACACTTTCTGGGCCACAGTAGGATCTAAATAAATGTTTACTGACCAGAATTGTTTATTAATATATTTTAAGTGCCGCCCATATACATTAACATAACAGTGCTCGCTAAGATACGTTAAAGTATGTAAGACTTCCCCATTTAGGTTTTCACTTTCTAAATCAAAGGTTGGCAAACTTCCTGCAAAGGTCCGGAAAGTGAATATTTTAGGCTTTGCAGGCCGTTCGGTCTCTGTTGCAACCACTCAGCTCTGTCATGGAAGCATGAAAGCAGTCATGCACAATATGTGAGTGAATGGGGATGGCAGTGTTCCAATAACTTTAGTTTCAAGATGGGATGCAGGCTAGATTTGGCCCTGCCAACCCCTGCTCTAAATCTTTGAAAAGTGGGGAAAGAGGGAATAAATATTTCAACCATGTATCTTGATAATCCCTACAAAATTTCTTATAAATATTGGCAATAAGAATTCTGATGTACATGCCATTTTGGAAATGTCTCCCAATTTTTCTTCTCTAAGAATGGAATGGAAACTAAGTGAGTTTTCCCCTGCCATACCCTATTAATACTAAGGCATAAGGTTGTAAGGGGTAAGCAGGAGTATGAGAATTAGAAGTGCTGATAAGACAGGGAAGTGACACAAAAGAAGACTGCAGAGAAAAGAGAGCAGCAGATGGAAGCCAGCGTGGCCTGCAGCAAGACGTGTCTGGGTCCTAATGCTAAAGCGGATGGTGTGTTAGGTAGGCTGGAGACACACAGGGTTTTGCCCTGCTTCTCATCTAAGACAGGAGAGAAAAAATGTCATAGAGCAGCAGTCCTCAAATTTTTTGGCTTACATATAAATTTAGAATTGTGAAAGAAGGCATATCGCTTCACGAATTTCTAAGTTGACAGCCAACATTTTTTATAATTAGGATGCAATTTTCAGAATATTATTACTAATCATGTTTAAAAATAAAAGTGCCTTGCCACCATTTTAATATATCCAATGAAACCTAATATCATAGCAAAATGTTAACTTTTTATATTGAAACGATTTTAGGTTTATAGAAAAATTGCTAACTTAGTCCAGAAAGTTCCTGTATAGCCTCTCTTGGCTTCTTCTAATGGTACATCTCACAAAACCATGGTACAATCATCAAAACAAAGAAACTGATACTGGCACAATACTATTAATTAAACTACAGACTTTCCCATTTCCCCATAATGTCCATTTTCTGTTCCAGGATCCAATTTAGGATTTCACCTCGCATGTAGCTGTTATATCTCTTTAGTGTCCTCCAATCCTTGACATTTCATCAATTTTTCCTTATTTTTCATGACCTGGATATTTTTGAAGCGATCATTTATTTTGTGGAATGTCCCTCAACTTGGATTTGTCGAATGTTTTTTCCTAATTAAATTTAGTTTATGCATATTGGGGAGGATACCAAAGAAGTCATGTGACCTTCTCAATGCATTATACCAGGGGATACATGATGCTGATGTGGCTTATTACTGCTTCTGTTAACCTTGATCCCTTGATTAAAGAAGTTTCTCTAAAGTTATTACTTTCCCTTTGTAATTAGTGATTATCTTGGGGGAAATACTCTAACATTATGCAAATACTGTTTTTCCTCAAACATTCACCCAATAACTTTAGCACCAATTGGTAGATCTTGCCAACAACAATTATTACTGTTATGTTTTCCTAATAGAGATTTTTGTTTCTTCCATCTCTTCTACATTTATTAATTGGAATTCCACTGCAGAGAAGAACTGTTAGTTCTCTCCTTTTCATTCATTTATTCATTCATTCTCTCATTCAATTGTTTACATCAGTATGGTTACATGGATTAGAACCCATACAATAAATATCCAATAAATATGGATAACTATGGATATTTATTGTATGGGTTATAATCAAGTATTACAATTTTTTTTTTGCTCCAATTGTTCCCACTTTTTCATTGGGGAGCTCCTTCAGGTTGTCCCTGTACCCTTCAGATATGCCCCATCTTTTTGTGAGCACCTCCTTATTTTCTGCCATCACAAGATATTCCAGTTTCATGTTGTATTTTTCTACCGTAGACCTGGAATCAGCCACTTTCTCAAGAAGCCTAAGTTCCTTTGACTGGAGACACTACAACAATTTGGATTCTATCATAATCTATTTTAAAATAGAAATACACACAAATAACCTCTTCAGCAGTCAGAGATATTACTTTCTTTCATTCTTGTAATTCCATTCCAGCTCCCCCACAGAATTTTATCCTAAAGAAATATACTTTTATTTGTGAAATATTTTATTCATTACCTTGTCATATTTTGCTGCAGTAAAAATAAATTATGTATATAAATTAAAATTATTATTATTTTTTTCCCCATTTATTTATTTTATTGTATTTTAGGTTTTGGGGTACATGTGAAGAACATGCAAAATTGTTGCATAGGAACACACCTGGCAGTGTGATTTGCTGCCTTCCTCCCCATCACCTACATCTGG